GACGCTCTTCCGATCTCAAGTCATCAAGTTATACGAATTTGTCGTCTGGCATTTAGATGCGGATTTTAGGCTTTTTTCAATAATGCTGTCGTCAAGCAAGTTGACGTACCTACTCTGGCCGGAATGGTGGGTGTTCTTGCTAACCACGTACCAACTATCGGAGTATTGAAGCCAGGCGTTGTATCAGTAACCGATAATGAAGGTTTGTCCTTTGGTAGCATGTGCTTTTTCTACGTTCCATCGCTTCTCCTCAATAATAGTGCCCGACATGATTCTGTGATTCATGGGCGGTTTAGACTGAAATGTCCTTTTCGTCCAAGGCAAGGTGGGAATAAAAAACAATTGTGGCTCACAGCAACAGCTGGTCAGAGTTATAGGAAACTCAGTCAGCCGCTTTAGAAATGTCTTTCTACCATGTAATAGCTAACGCCTGCCTGTCGGTCCGCGAAGCTCTTTTGAATAACAAATAGCATGGTAGGAGAGCGTGGTAGGAGAAGGCAGAAGGAAAACGTAGCAAAAGTGGGATAGCAGTCGGGGCTCTGCTAGGCCTGTGGTAGTTTTGTAAGGGCATAATTTACTACAGCTATTGTGTAGGACGTCCGCACACAGTTCACATGCAACCAGGCGGTAGAAGCTTTCGCCTGGAGATGAGAACGTGTGAGCGAAGCGTAGTGTACGCTAAAAAGGGGTACGCTGTGAGTTTCGTGTAAGAAGCATTGGCACAATACTAATGCCGTACATTCTATAATTTTGAGGATCTTTTGTGAGATTTTCGGTTGATGAAGTACTGCACGTGGAACCTAACTATTAGATTGGTGCAAACGAAATGCAGGTTTTTCTACCTAAAATCCAAATTAATATGTTCCAAAATCAGAGTAATCGCCATTACAATCACTGCTTGTTGCCAACGATGAAGCTAGCTTTTTAATACCAAAATCAAAAAGTCTGGGGTTCTGGAAAGATGAACTCATCGAAGGCAGTTTCCACACCGTATTTTCTGAAGTGTTTCTCCCACAAGAAGTTGTCAAGGTGCTTGAAGAAGTGAAGTCATTACGCGAAAGGTCTGACGAGCACGTTGTATGATCCAGAGTTTCGTGGTTCAATTTGTGCAGTTTCTGCCGTGTGATCCTGTGATGAGGTTAAGTGGTACGTACACTTACCACACGCGCGGACCGGGGGCCCCCCCCCCCCCTTAAATCGGATCGGACCCCGCCAGAACAGTTCAATCCTTTCGCCTCCTAAGAGGGTGAATGGGACCAGCCGTCTGGAGGATAAGAACACTGACTTTAAATCGGCTGACCAAGTCATTGTAGGCATCATCACATTCAATAAGCCACTACGATTCTGAATAGAAGAAGGAATGCATGCCGCGCTCCAAAAAGAGTCGATGGCCGAAGTTCTTTTAGTATAGTTCCATTACCGGCGGGAATGTAGGAAACCACTGAGGGAATTAATAGATCAGTGTACTACTCGAGTGCTGTTTCTGCCTTGTGCAACCCTTCCCAGAGTATAATTGCTCCAGGTTTTGTATGACTCCTGGAAGTTTATTATCTTCTGGTTTTCCCTGTTTATGATGAGATGTAAGCCATTCTTGTTCCTTGACCTTGAACAACGTAAAACTGAGACCCTCAAATGAATGACCGATTGACCTAGCCGAGCTGTTTGATGTAAAACACGCTGCTTCGTACGTCATCACAGTTATGTTTGAGCACATTGAACTGCTCAGCTGACTGCGATTGAGTGCCATTTGATTCTGGTTAATGGAAGCACATTTATTCAGGGTGTCTCTAGATAATCTCTGAGACGCTCGTAAAAATGTTGCGATAATAAATAGCCCAAATTATTCCTGTTTTCGTCCACTTGGCGATGACAGTGACATGAGGGTTACATAAACTTGAAATCTTTATGTATATGGACGGTTCTACAGAAGTGTTTTGACTTTTAACTTTACTTTGAAGAACTTTTTTTAAGGTAAAGTGACCAAGCTTTTCGTCTCATCGGGCACGATGTCCATGAATATCGATGGCACCTGCCAAGTCTTAGCAGAAGAAGTTGTAAAGATTGAAGACATTGACCAAACTGTAGGTTTAGTTTCCTATTTTAAGTCTGTTCTGTGAAAGATTAGTCCGCACAGCCTTCAGGGTGCTAGTCGTGTGGTAGCTAGTACTTGTACAAACTTGTGCGATATCATCCTGCTTTTCATATGCCTGTCGTAGTAAATATTGCTGCTACAGTAGATAAGAGGCGACATTTTCTGATTTGTGGCTCTGTGCATTGACTTATAATATTTTTGAGTTGAATGCAGAGCCCTTCATCACAAGAACGCTGAGCTATAAGCAAGTCTTGACCCGATGGGGGACTGGAACGAACACATCACGATTTCCTTTGCCATATTACCCATCAAGGGTCGATCTTACGCCGACAGTTCAATAGGTTCTGTGCCATGGCCTTATAGTGCTCACACGCTAGTGAACCGCGAGGTTGAAGGTTCCTCGCTGCTGATATAGGCTAGCTGGGGGCTATGGTACAAACCCCATTGTCGTGAGAGGGTAGGAGCTGGTGTCGTTACGGGTTGCACATCCGCCCGAAAGCGTGACGTATGGGTTCGAGTTCCGCCTGGAATCTCAAGTCTTTTGCCCATGAATCAGCATTCTTGTGATAAGTTTCAGAGCTCAAATTGCGGTGCTATTCAGCATTTATCATAATAAGATTAGAGCTCTTTGCTTTGACATCATATTTTGTGGGTGCTGTAGGAATTTCAGGTTTTTTCGTTTCCCTTTAGTGGTTTATATCCTGCAATAGTTTCAGTTTTTGTATCTTTTCTTTCTTTGTTTTCAGGCTGCACGAACAGAACTGGAAGCGGCTCAGCGTGCTGCCGTAGAGGGAAGCGATTTAGCTAAAGCTGAAGCTGCGATACGAGCTGAGGTGAAGCCTGTTGATTTTTTTCAGTTTTTCCTTCAGTTTTTGAAATTTCTTTAGTTCTATGTAGAAGAAGCCATATTATTTCTGTTGGGAAGAAACTTATAGCATTCATTCAGAATTCGTTCTGTATTTGTTTGTATCTCATTTCCATTTTGAACTGGACAATTTTCGAAACAAATTAGACACACGTGAATTTCGAATTTTCATAGCTTTTTTCAACGTCTTTCTTTTCATATCCATTCTTCACAGTACGAATACGCATTAATACATTGGCACGCTAAGCTCCCTCCTAAGCCGCTCCCAATTTTGCATCTTTATGCATAATTTTGACTTCGCTTCAAAATTTTCCATCTAGGCGTTTGTACGGCTGAAACAGGCAGTTTTGGTCACTGCGGGTGTCTCCACCCACATCACGGGAACCCCACCCCACTTTTGAAAAACGATCAGAATCGGCAGGCTAGGGTCTCAATGAGGCAGGTGAGAGTCTCGCTCGGCACTCGAAACGAATCCGTGTCTTGTTTTTTTTTACCGGGCGACGAGGGAGACTCTAGCCTGCCAGGTGAGACCTTACCCTGCCGATCCTGATCGTTTTGGAAGGGTGGGCGGGCTTCTCATAAGGGGCGGAGCTGCCTGTTCAGCCTGAAGAAGGGAACACTGTTGAAGGATCAAAATTATAAAAGTCGCAAAAGTGGGCATTTCCGAAGAGGCGGAGCTCAATGTGCCAGTGTATAAAAGTGTGTTTATGAGTATATTCGTTTTGAAACGAATGGACATGAAAAAAGACGTTGAAAAAAAGCTAAAAAAATTCGAGATCTGCATGCGCCCGCATTGATTCGAAAAGTGTCCGTTAGACTTGAAAAATATCTGATTAAAAATGAAAATGGTATATGCAGGGGGGGGGTGGAAGGCACTTTGGCCGAGTCACATATCAGCAAAGTTTTCGCAGCCCAGAAGACGTGGATACGAGTACCAGGGCGGAAGATACCCAAGATGTTCCTCGATAAGCAGGAGCTGGCTCTCGCCCATCACCTTCATGTACACCAAAATATGAAGTCATTTCCAATCGCAAGCAGTTAGAAAAAGCCTGCAGGCAGGTAGGAAAAAGCCTGTGGAATTCACGTCACCTCTAAACAGGTGCGGAACTTCTTCTATGGAGCCACCCATGGCTAGCTATCTCCTGGTCTGGGAGACCTCCAACATCGAGCAGCTCCGACAACGTCGCCACGGTCCTGATATCATCTACACCGCAGTCGCCAAGGCGCGGGTTGATGGTATGGACCGACGGTTCCCGAAATGAGGTGAAATGAGGATTTTCTTTGTTGGCCCAGGAATGGAAGTGAGCGCTGACGATCACATCGACTACTCGTGGAGAATATCCTGCCTTCATGTCATCGCCTGTACCTTTGGAGACTTCGTACTGCTACAGGATTGGGTGCCTCCACACGGAATCGAAGGGCGTTGGAAAAACTCTCGCCTACTTGGAATGGAAGGGCGTTGAGTACCTGAAGAAGATATCCAAGTGTGTCACCTGACCTAAACCCCCTCAATTACCCGGTTCGGGCGGAGCTCAACAGGGTGGTCTACAGTGGCGGAGAAATCAACGATCTCGCTGAACTCAGGCACCGAACCATGGTTGCGTGGCAGAATCTCTCATTCGCTAGTCCAGAAGGCTGTGGCGGAGCATCATGATAGTGTACACTATGCGCGTAGCTGAATATGGTGGTGTACAATGCCAGTCGAATTTCAATTAAGGTAAACAATTACACCTGAAACTAAGCGAGAAAGGTGTCGCCCCTCCCTATTATATAAATTATAAAGGATTTCTGGGTATGCACCTAATCAAGTGTAAGATCTCTGTATTCATTGCACTGTAAAACTGCTTGGCTACAATTATTTTTACACTGATTTATTCCTGCCTATCAAGTTTGCTACGCGCCAGCTGAAATGAGGTTAACATTGTTTTGAGAGCTACCAAAATTCAGCGGTAGTTGAAGTATTGTTTCGCGTTGCTGAAAGCTGTTGTTTCAGGTTGCGAGGCGTGCTAAGGCTGCAGCGCGGACAACATAAATATGAAAAGCATAGGATAGATTCTTCGCATAGCAAAAAAAACTCACTCTTGATCATTTTATATGTTATTACATTTGCCCTCGTTACACATTCTGGTAGATTAAATGTAGTAATATACAATTTTATGTTGATGTACTGGTTTCTGATTAATGCCAGCGATGATTGATGAGCCAGCAAATGAGTCACGGTTCTGGCATAATAGTTCGGGTGCGATCTGTACACACCAACAGTATCTAATCGGATTGACGAAAAGGTACTATGAATAATCTACGGACAGGGAATACTCATGTAGCGGGCCACCGTAATTAGACGTTTATCTTCCAATTGTTGCGCTTTGCTTCCTCACTGTCGTTCTTTTAATGTGGTAATTCATTTACATTACCCACACAGCTAATATTGAAGATTTTTTGGATGTTCTCGAAAGGGGGGTTGGCCATATAGAATGTGTTTTCAGTTCGCGAACATGCGCATTTTGTCGAAAACGTGGCTCGCTCGAACCGGAGCTCTCAGCCAAGTGTCCGCCACAGGTGGTGACCACTCGGTCCCTCCGTGAACCACCTTACTTAAAAATTTTAGCGTGTTCAGCTTTAGCTCCCGAAATCTCCATTTTCACTGAACTTTAGCTTTAGATCACCAAAAATGCATTCATCTTCTCCGAGGTGACATTTTGCGCCAGTGCTGCGCGATTTATCTGTAGTCTTTCCCTTGATAAACCGTAGAAGCTTGCATATTTAGAGAGGTTGTCGTAAGTTGAGAGTGAGTCTCAAAACCTGTTGCAAGAGTTTTGAGCCGGAAACGGAAGGCTACTGTTCAAAAGATCCAAACCAATCTAGGAACGACTGCTAAGCCAAGTCTGTCCACATAAAAATTTCTCGAAAAGTTGCTTGTCCGCATGTCTGAGCGTATAAAGGTGGCGCCCTGTTTTATTTTCACCAGCCGCTATTTGGCGCTGTCTCCGTTGAAAAAAAAACTAGGGCACTCTCAACCCTTACTACTTTGGCCAGTTTTCACTGCACTCTCCGCGCTTCTTTCGCTGAACCCAGCTGCTGCGAATTCGAACTCAGTGGGTGGTAGAGGAAACCGACATAGATAAGACATTCTTTATCTTTGCAGAGCGCTACATGCATGAGCTCCTCTAAAAGCTGGCACTGGAGAGGATGTCCCTACCCCTAAGCAAGTTCGCCCCACATCGCATTATAACCTTGCTGCTTACGCAACATTCCTGCCAAAATATGAAATGTCACAATCAATAGATAAGGACACACGAATACTCCTACATCAGATTCCCACCAATTTGCGCTGGAAGAGGTACGAGCACCAAATTGGCCCTATTGGCGCCAGTTCGCGCGGGACTGTGATAACGTCCTATCTGACCAGATCAAAAAGCCTGTAGTATGTAACTTCCCTGAAAGTTGCTGAAAAAAGTAGTGTGAGTCGACGCCTGCACCATTCTGTGCCTCAGCTTTGAGAAATACGTTTGTGGTGCCAAATCAGCGCTAAATGGCTCAGACACCCCGCGCCAAACGGACGCACATTCGTGATCGGCTGCACGAGTAATCCTACAGGCAATTTCAGCTAGAATTTTCCTAGCAGTTTAGCCCATGCCTCTGCTATCTTGAATCGCTCCTGGAGCCTTATATCTGAATATCTCGTTGTCACATTTGCATAAAAAACAAAGCTTAAAAACTGCTTACACGGAATCCTAAACAATTCGAATTCAAAGATCTCATCAAAGTCCCGTCGCGCCATTATATGTCGTTACATTTCTTCGGATGCATTCGTACCCACCACCCACGGGCTACATTGTCACAATGGGTAATCTTAAATACAGGCACATCCTAATATTCAAGCATCGTTGCGTTTTCTCCGCGTTGGAAAGCTAGCTCGGAAACGCATATTCACCAGACTTCAGCGTAGCTTGCCCAATCACGAAATCATAGAGTTCCGATTTGGACGATTCAGAGTCCTCACCTGTTACACAACCAAGCAGACAATCGTGATTGTCACAAATCAGCAACCTCCCTTAATCCACTAAGACCCCACTCGAAATTTCTTTCCCGCATAAACGAGAACACAGAAGTAGTCATTTCAAAAGCAGGTGTTTAATGAAAGACCTTCAACAAATCTTCAACTCACGTACTGTTAAAAACTACTCAACATTAATGAAGATAGTGATTTCACCCCAATTAGAATCATTTATAAGTACAGCAACACAATGGCTAGCAAAATTTGCAATTACAACAAAGTATTGAAAGATCTCGACAACGAAAAATTGAAGCAAATACTCAACAACGATTGCTGTTATATGTATTACCATACAGTACAAGAATATGTGGATAAAAATCATGAACACGTTATTACAGGAAATGTAAATCTCATACAAGAATATGGTTTCAGAAGACTACTGAGTAAAGACCAAATATAGATTCGACGAAAGCCATCAACTAAGACCAAGAAGTAAAATGTGTTGAAATTACACTTCAAACAAGATAATTAAATTATTTTAAATATAAATACAAGGCTAGCAATCACAAGATTAATCTATTATATAAACATTTTCGTTCATGTTACCATGACAAAGTAAAACCTTTACTGACAAAGGCTAATATTGAAGATCAGTTCTCGAACACAACCTTACACTTAATCAAAACAATTATCAAGAAAAATACTGTTTCTGCCACTCGACAAAGCCAAAACAAAACTATAGCATCATATGAAGTCAATCACTTCTAACATGTACTGCATGAAATGGCATTTCTTATGATGCTGCCAACCACACATTTGTCTATGGAAATAGTAATAACACATATGAGTTGATGCCTCATACGAACAAGTATTCTTTAATATTGAAACACAAGTTCCTTGGATTTCACCCGTGTTAAGAAATAATATCTAAATATCCATTGATGCAGGAAATACCTAATATATGTCTACAAAAGCTATTGAGTGCTGCCATAAGTACTCTTTTTTCAACGCGTAAATTTCTTCAA